GAGAGAGAGAGAGAGAGAGAGAGAGAGAGAGAGAGAGAGAGAGAGAGACAAAGGAAGTAGACACTAGAGAGTGAAGGAGGTTACTGGTGAGAGGTTGAAGATGATGTTTCCTAAGGAGAGAGAGATAGGTAGTAGCAGTGGTTTGGGTCAGGGTGAAGTAGATGTTGAGAACTTGAGCTTCTTGAAGATTTTTCAGGGTGAAGACTTATCCTCTGAAAGCATGGTGATTTTCTTTACAAAACCTCATCACTTGTTTAAATTTGTACTTTTCTTGATAGCTTCGTTTAGAAAGGTGTAATCTTTTTGTTTGTTTCGATGTGTTTGATGGGTTTCAAGTCAAAGTGTTTGTGTGATCTTTTAGTGGGTCTTTGAAAGGTTTAATCTTTACGTTCTCTGTGTTTAATAAAAAAGGTTGAGTCTTTGTCTTTATTAGTTCACTCTGTTCTGTTTCTGAGTCTAAAGGTTGAGTCTTGGTATATTTTTTTGTGACTAGACCCACTTGATGATTAGTGGTGAAGATTGAACTTAATTAATATTGTTTTTAACATTATCCATTGTATGTTCAGAGAGCATTTCCTTACGACTTCATAAGAAACGTCCCTGAAAACGACTACTCAACTAACATGGTGATAAGGACGCAATGGGGAATCTCATGGGAAGTAAAAGTCTCCGTGAACCCAAGATTCCACTACATGGAGAAGCGTGGATGGAACCAGTTCGTGAACGACAATGCCTTGGGAGATAAAGAGCTTGTTGCCTTCACTCACACAGGACTAATGTGCTTCAATGTCAACATCTACGATGAGAGTGGCAAGGAAATTGTCACACCTAGGAGGAGGAGGCCCCGGACAATTGCTTCTTTAAGTAAGTTTAGTATCTGTATGAAAGAAAAGGAAACTGAGAAGAGTACTGATTCTTGAGTTTGATGATGTGAAAAAAACAGGTGGGATCAAGAAAGAAGTAGGGGAGAGCAGGAAGGCTGAGAAGACAGGAGGAGTTAGGAGCAGGAGATTTGAAGGAGGCGAAACATCCAAGAAGAAGATGAAGAAGAGCAATAACGTTGACCATACTGTTCCAGAATTCAACATTACCATAACGAAGTCATACCTCTGCTACCTGGTAAGACTAAAACCAAAACACACAAAAACAAAAACAGTTTTCCACACAGTCTCTAATATGTGAAATCTCTGATGATATTTTTGCAGCCAATCCCAAAACATTTTGCTGAGAAACATATCCGCAATGAGGATGAGATTGTCACCATCCATGACTCCAATGGGAACCGTTCATGGATGATGATTTGCTTGAAGAAGGAGACATGGTCAAGGTTTGCTAGTGGATGGGCTGTATTGGCAAGAGAGTTCCCTTTATCAGTCGATGACATTTGTACCTTCAAGTTCATCAACCCAACCGAGTATCACCTTGTTGTCTCCGAGAAGGAGATCATGACTGACTGATGAATCAAATGTGTTTAAGTGTCTTGCTTTCTTCTAATCCTTAAAGACAACTTTGATCGCTTTAGGTGTTTGTGACTTCTCTCTTAGGTGTTTGTGTGGTTTTAAAGACTTTATCACAATGTTGATGATTAGTTTCATCTTTTGGATTATTATTAATATCAATGTTTCAGTAGTATTCATCTACATGTCTCATACTATTACTTGCAAGAACTATTCAACAAGCATCATGATCAGATTGAACTCTGTTTCTTGCTGGCTTCCCAATCTGCAAACAATCAATAGGAGGAAGAGTAGGAGTGTTGAGCTCACCAAACGTTTGCCAGCAAAAAGGATCATACATATGATACTTTTCTTGAACCGGCCTAAGCTCTATTGCAGATAACTGCACATTTACACAAGGGAAGTCATCACTGCAGGCGAAATGAACCGGTTTAACAGTATAAGTCCCCTTGATCCTCTCGTAAGTCACTCCTTCAACTGAAACTGCTGATGTCTGGTTCTTACATGTGGTGTGGTCACAGTAGAATTGGTCTATTACTATTGGAAACTGGACTTGGTTCAGTTGAATGTTTGAGAAGAGTATCCCTTTCACTGATCCTACTCCTCCTTGCCATGTCTTGATCCTGACCCCTGTCATTGTGTTGTGCATCGCCACGTCTCGTACTGTTATGTTTGAGACGCATGCTTTTGTGCTGTCTTTACCAAGACTACCGATACTAATACCATGGCCAGGTCCACAGTTCACGTTGTGTATGTATACGTTAGCGCAACCCGTTTGGATCGAGATGCAATCATCTCCTGCACACACACACAGACACCAAGAGATGAGACATCATTCAAGATTCAAGAACTCATGAGGATTCAAGATTCATTACCGCAAGAGAGTGTTGTGCTGTGAATGAGGACATCTCTAGTGTTTTGCAAGTGAATCCCATCAGTGTTTGGACTGTCTCCAGGTGAAGAAACGGTCATGTCATGTACCACAACGTCTCCACAGTTATCGAATTTGAGGTGACACTGAGGACTGTTTTGGATCGTTATACCAGACACTTCCACACCAATACTCCCATAGAATCTTAGTGCCTATATACACAAATCAGTAAACAACAGTTTCACAATCCCAAAACTCTTTTGTGCTTATTACTCACCGTTGGTTTGATGTTTGGCATTTTCAAATCAAACTCACTTCTTGGAGGGTTGTGGTTAACAGAGTTGTTCAAAGGAATGATGAGTTTGGTTTCACCATCAATGAAAGGGTAATATTGTTGCCACCAACCAGAGCCTCTTCCATCAATCACACCTTTCCCTTGTACTTTGATTCCTACCAGCTTTGTGAAATCAATCCACCACATTAACCCTTTTCCCCATGACTTTGAATCCGTTGGAGCTATAATAGTACCATCAAGCTGCAACCGCACAAAACGTTATAGATCTTTTTTTAACTAAAGGAGAGACATTTTTTATATATTCAAAAGATCAATGCTCACCTGAAACACAATGTTTGGTTGACAATAAGGACCAGAGAATGAGATTGGACCAACAAGGAAAGTGTATTCAGATGGTATGATCATCATAGATGCTTCCACTTTGCAAGCAGCAGCCCAAGCCGCTTCAAACGCCTTACAAAACATTATGAAACTCTGTTAATTACCCTAATCACAATTATAATAATGGTTGTTAAGGCTTGGTACCATTTGTAATCTGTTATTTCTGTTGTCACGTTATTCTCATGTCTTTTCTTTTGGCGCAAGTTAACATTTAAGATAGAAAAAATATTAAAAAATTTTAACGTGACCATTACAGACACAAACCTTTTTAGCTTTGTTCTGTCTCAGTGATCTCTCAACTGTAACTTGTCTTTTTTTTTTTATTCTCATGAAACCGATATTTAAAATGCTTTAATTAATTCAAATACTACCACTAGGATTTAAAACTGTACGGATAATGTTATTAATGAGCTTTTTATTTTTATTTTTACCTTAGTGTCATCACATTTGCCATCACCCTTTGCTCCAAAGTCCATCACATTGAAGACCTGAGATTCATTTAGCGGTGGAAGAGACGGTGGTTTGACTTTTGGTAGTCCTGAAACCACCGGAGAGTTATTCTCGTCAACTTTTGGCGGTGTTATCACTTTTGGCTTCAGTTTAGTTTTAGACTTGTGGTGATGACTGTTGTTATTATTGTGAGAGCTGTGGTGACTGTTACCATGGCTTTTTGGTTTCTTGCTTGACAAGGATCCAGACAAGTCACAGGATCTTCGTTTGTTATGTCTCCAGTGTCTTCCTCTTCTAGCAATGCAGGTCTCTAGTGTTACAGACCAGACCAAAACCGCCACTAGCATCATCATCGTGATGCTTCGCAGCCTTAGACATTTTCTCATTATCATATTGCGTTTTCTGTCTAAACGAAGAGTGTTTTGTGGTGGTTGAGAATAAGAGACTTTGGTTTATTTTAAGTTGAAGAAAGAGAACGTTTTTGAAGGGGTTTAAATAAGGAAGCAGACCAAGAATAATGTAGAGAGGCTCACGGGTTTTTTAAAATGGAATTTTATTTCCAGTCTGTTAGTGAAAATGGAATCAATAGTCCTTTATTTTCCATATTGTGATTGACAAACTTATTTTCTAAAATTTATAAATAAACGAATAAGTCTAAACTTGCTATGTGTAAGTAACCTATATACGATAGTAAGACCATAATGAACGCTTTTAGCTGGATTTTTGTAAAATGTAGATGATATTGACAGTGATGTAAAAGTTACTACTCGTGAATTATATAGAAGTTTTGAGTAGAAATATGCCAAAAGTATAACTGAACCAGAGATTCTTTTTTCACCGTGGGTAAAAGTTCAAAACGCACAAAACCTGAATTGCATGTTGACTACAAACACATGTATATGCCCCCATGAAGTGGGGATAATTAAAGTGAGGTATTCAGTTTTAGGATTTTGCTTTATGTTTATTAATGGGATATAGTATACAATTAGATCGAAACAAGCATTGAAGCATGTGTTGGATATGTCGTACTCGTATTGGGAAGGTAAGAGTGTCGTATGTTTTTAACATTTACCGGTGGTGTACAAGTCCAGGAGACCATGTACAATAAATTTAATGTTTTTTTTGCCTAAATACATACGAATATGATTTGTAATTAAAAAAAAAAGATTTTGTAAACGATATTGCAGTCATTCAAAAAAAAGTTGTTTTTTTTTTTGTTTTGAATATAATTTAACATTCATTAAAAGAAAAAGATATTGCAGTCATTATCAAGAACACCTAGAGTTGAACATATAAGTTTTTTTTTAAAAACCAGTAAGTAACGATATATTCCCTCCGTTCCTAAAAGATCCATGTTGTGGAAAAAAAAATTGTTTCAAAAAGATGTATATTTTATGTTTTCTATGAGAAAATTACAAGTTTCAAAAAAAAATAATTGGTTTTATTAGATTACTCTTGGCTAAAAGTTATTGAAAATTAAAAATTACTGAAAACGATAGTGATTTAATGTGTTTTCTTAATATGTGTGAAAACACTAGAAAGTCTATTTTTTAGGAACAGAGAGAGTATTCAATCTGAAATCAATAAAATAAGTTTTTAAGAAAAAATAAACGCGATGAATAATATAAGAATTACAAGTGGATAATCAAAATTTAAAAATAGATTTATATGAAGAAAATGTAGTATGATTAAAAGTTTGTTGAGGAATATTTTGTCTCATTAGTAATAATTTAATTTATAACACTTCATATATATGAAGATATAATAAGTAAGAGACTCGTGAGTGGTCTATATGTTATCAAGGGGGGCACTGATTGTAACATCTATTTTAGCAATCACATGCACCACTTCACGGGCATTGTTTTGTATTCACAACTCCTCCATCATTTATTAGTACTAATTGCATTATATACTTGATGACTATGGAGAAATCGACGAAAAATATAGTGGAGGACTGAACGATATTGATTTTAGAAGTATTACTATCTTTTTGCACGATATCACATAACCTTATAAAAAAAACGTAATCATCATCCTTCCCTTACACACTCTTCCCTAATAAAATGTTTGTTTCTAAATCATTTTGTAGTTCTCCTAGCACTATTTCATTTTGATTAACTAATAATTTCCTTATACAGACAAAATAAATAAATAACTGGAACTATCATTTTAAAATTATATATAATCTGAAGATTAATTAGCGTGTATATGGGTGACTGAATGTAGTAGCCAGCTACTATTTAGACATTCGCAATTTCATACTTCCATATGCATTTGCAGCATTACAAAAATATTACAGATAAAATAATGTTTCGCTGCCAAACTTTGCTTATATGAGAATTATATGAAGAAGTTAGGAGAATGTTTGGCGTTTAGGCTGCTAAAACTTTTAGATTGTAAAAGGTTTATATATATAACAAAACTTACTAAAATTTACCAAACATACTTTAAATATAATAAAATCACTCATATCTCTTAAAATATCTAATAATTCTTTTTTTCTTACTTCTTTCAAGACTTCAAAAACATATGTATTATACTTATATACACTTTTAAAAGTTGAAAGATTTATATAATGTATTATCACTTACTTTCTTTTTTTGTTTCAAGAAAAGAAGACCTGAACGCTAGAAGTTTTCAAAGACTTGCATACAGGACAAAACCCAGTGAATACATCACATTCTTTACACAAACTCAAATGCCTACAAGGCACAAGCAACACCGATACTTCCTTCTCATGACACATTTTGCATCTCATCCTCTGATTCCCCAAGTTGTTGTTGTTGTTTGGATCAATGTATGATGAAGCTGCATCATCTATTTCACTATCTCCAAACCCTTCTTTACAATGATCCGCACCAGCAACCACATTGTTGTTGTGTGACATTGCTTGTTGTAGATTTGTCTTTAAGACATTAACCACAGACTCATTATACTTTGCTTTATAGTGCCAATTCTGAGCTTCCATCGCCAGTTGTTTTATCCTCTCCACAAGCTCCTTATTCTTCTTGTTCATGATATCAATCTCATGGTCTTTCTCTTGAAGCTTCTTGCTCACTCCTTTCTCTATTGTGTTCAAAATAGACGCAAACTGTCTCTGTTGGATATCCCTCACTCCTTTAGCCATTTGAGCTGCCTGAAACCACACAAAAACATTACAAAACAAAGAACCTTAAAACAGAGCAAAAAACAGAACACTTATAGTACCTGAATTTTTAAAAACTGGTCAAGCTCATCTTTCTGTCTATCATCAAGTGACTGTAATACTGAGGAAGCAGCTACAATGCTACCACTAGCAGAAGTGACTGATGAGTTGCGTTCATCGTCATCATAAGATAGTCTAAGACCAGTGGAGACTAGATTCTCCTTGGGGGCTTCTTCTTGAAGAGTATAATTGTTATGAAGCTTATGTTGTCTTTGGATGTTAGTAATGCTTTCAGCTTCCCTTCCTCTTTTGTTAGACCGAATCATTGGAAGGAGATTCTCGTTAGAAAAATAGTTTACTGGATCAACAGTGCACCCAC